AATTAACCCAATACTGATTATTTAAAACCCCACCAATCACCTCCATTCCCTCAGTTTTAGCATAATTACAAAGTTAAAAACCGAAAGACAGACATCTACTCAGGTGACATTTTCAAATCTATAGCCACTACTTTTAAATTCCAAGATGTACCTATGACAACAATATCTTCATCTTCAAATAGCCTAGAAAATATACAATTATCCTGGACTGCATTTAGCTCAGAATGCAATGGTTTTAATTGACAACAGATACACTTCTATTAAGTACAGCAATTATCTGGAACCTTAAACTCTAATTTCAAGGAGATGAAACTTACCAACAAATTCAGAATTAGCATAGTAATATATATACAGCAAAACCTGTGACAGCCAAAACTCCACAGGGACTTCCTTGTTTCTTCAGGTCTTGCAAGTTTTCCACCTTTGACAGGGTGCAGTCTTACCACTTTTCTACCTTGTTTTAGTGATAAATATTTCAGTTTCCCTTCTCTGACAGATTTCCACCTTCGCAAGTTTTACTCTCTCTCTTTACATATATAAATAAAAATATAAATCAAGCCTCAACTTTACGCAACTTAAGCCAAAATAAGTCAAGAGTGTGATGTCCACAATGATAATCTAATTTGAAATGACACATATTCTTACTAACTAAATTAGCAAGCACCTGTTCTACTTCAAGCACTGTAACACTGAAAACACAAATACAGTTACATAAAATCAACGTTCTCAGTTTAAGCGTTCTTTTAATCTCGACTTGCCTGCTATGTATTTTTTAAACATACAACCTGCAGGTCTACTATGTATCTATCTCACCACTCCCTGCCCCATTTGCTAGCTCTGTGAATTACCCCGATGGGGAAAGTGACAAGTCAACCATACCAAAAATGTAAAAGAAAAAAAAAACCTTATTAAAAGGAAAAAACAATCACTAAAACTTACTTTTCCACCAATGCGCACTTGTGCCTGCAATTTGGCGAGTTTCTCCTGATTCATGATAGTTTCTTTCATCTAGAAAAACAGGAAACCCTCAGCGAGGAAAGGTCTAGTTCACTCTAACATTCCACGCTCGTTATTTCCCAAAACACCAGCAGGAGAGCAAATGTCCTACACAGGCCGAGGCCTGGATCCCCAAATCCACCCCAAAGCTCCCAATTTGTTTTGAGGGAGCCCAAAGAACCACCACCTCCCCCACCCCTCCCCGGGAACGCCCCGCTCTTTGCGGCCCGGGAACAAGGGCTCTAACCCGAGCCTGGTCAGCACCCCCAACCCCCAGCCCTGGCCCGGCCTTGGCCTAGCCAGGGCCCGCCCGGCCCAGCCACTCTCAGCAAGCCTCGTGGTACCTGAGGCTCCTGTCCTCGGGTTCCGCCGCGAGGTGGAGGAAGAGACGGCGTCGCCTCGACCCCAGGGCAGCCGCCCCTGGCTCGACCTCGCCCCCGAGAGTCAGACTGAGTGGGTGCGCCTGTCCGTCGCATCGCCTTCCTCTCCTCAGCCCTGTCCCTCCCTGTCTGGCTCCTTTCGGGAACTTCCCGCCCCCGCTCCCGTCCTCCTCCCACGCCGGCGTTCAGAGCCTTTTTGTACCTTGTCGGAGCGGAAATGGGGCAGCGCGGGGGACTAGGGTTCGTGCTCAGGGGGTCTCTGGCAGACCAGCTGAGATTAGGCGCACACACGCGGGGACGCAAGATGGCAGCTAGAGGGAGGCCGGAAGTAACCCAACGCCACTTCCCCTCAAAAGTCAGGAAAGGGACTTAGCCGCGAGCTCGCCGCCTTGGTGCGCACGCGCGGCCCTGCGCCGCGACGATTGTGACGGTCGCGTTTGTCTTCTCTTTCCGGTCTTGCAGCAACAGACTCTGGGCTGGAGGTTTCGCGAGCAGCCCTGGGAAAGGCTGCAGAGGGGTCAGAAGCGTGGTTCTTTGCACACTTAAGGTTGAGTAAGTCTGCCCTTCTCCATCGGACCCTGATGCCGAAATTCTTTTCCCTCCGAAGAAAGTGCGCCCGTTCGTGTTTCCGGGGAACGCCTGGGTGCACCCGGTGTGTGCTCACCTTTTAGCTGTTTTCTGCTCTCTGGACTGTGGACTGTGTAGATTCAAGCGATCATCTCAATGTTTTAGAAATTCCCCTTCAGCCCGAATAAGCATTTACCAAAACGTCAAAAACAGTGAAGCTAATTTTGCTTTCCCAGATTAGGTGGTTTGGTAGATTGTGAGACCGTGATTAAGAATTTCTGGGGATTTTTTTTTTTTGTTCAGAATGCACCCCCGAACGCCACACCTCAAAACGATTTAGTGGGTTTGGAGGTGGGACCTGGTAGTCTGCATTTCAGCAAATTTAGTTGGTGGCTGACCACCTTAAACCAGTCTACGTGATTACCTCATTTTTCTTGTTCCTTGAAGAGGCAAAAAGTTGACTCCTTGAGGTCAGTTTGGCGTGGATTTGACAGCTAGCGATTCACGATTGAACAAACGTTACCTTTCTTGACTAAGTAATTCTAAGGAGGATTTCTACCCGGTGTGGTTGGAGAATCTAAGTCTCTTGGTGTGAGGTAAAATTTGCTAAACGCCTGTACAAGTTCTAAGACAATCTAACATAAACCCACCAATATTAAAATGACAATTCAATAAAAATGTTACTTCAACACCCTTTTTGTGGTCTTAGCTATGAAATGCTTTTGCCTAATCATTCCAAAATCTTAGCTAGAAAGAATACAGTTCATATAGCAAGAA